TTCAAGTTCCCGCCATTTTTGTTAGCCATTTACTGGGTAAAATCTGGGACAATTCCGGGTTCCCGCCATTTTTGTTAGTCATTTTATAAGGGAAATATTTGGTACAATTTCAAATCCCCGCCATTTTTACTGGCCATCTTTTGGATAATTTATTGCAACTTTTCTCTCGGCCATTTTTTACTGGACATCTATTGGGGAAAAATTAATATCACTCCTTTACCACAATTTCTTATTGGACACATTTTGAGAAAACTTTTACTTTTAAGAAACTTCAATATAAATGGTTTAGTTTCTACTCAAACTCAAACATAACAATTTCTGTACATATTTAGTTCAACATGATCATATCATACTGTAGAACACACATATTTTAAACCGCTATTATCACTAGTGATTATTTTACTTCGTTCATTTCACATGTACTTATGTTCGTTCATTTCACATGTACTTATGTTCGTTCATTAGAGATCATCCATTAAGGATGATATGTACATAGTCCAATTAAGATCATCCATTAAGGATGATATGTACATAGTCCACTTATGATCATCCATTGAGGATGACATGTACATAGTCCACTTATGCTCATCCATTAGGAGTAACATGTAATTAGTAACTTTACATTCATCCATTAAGGATGACATGCACTTAGCCCTTTTACATTCATCCATTAAGGATGACATGCACTTACCATTTTACATTCATCCATTAAGGATGATAACTACTTAGTCATTTTACAATCATCCTTCAAGGACGAGAAACACTTAATCCTAGTCCACTTTTGTTCATCCATTAAGGATGACATGAACTTAACCCTTTTTATATTCATCCACTAAGGATGACAACTACTTCATTCATTTGTGTTCATCCATTAGTGATGACAATTACTTGACCTAGTTATGTACATCTATTACGAATTATAACTACTTGATTATGTTATGTAAATCCATAAAGGATATCATTTCAACTTGGATCCATTCATTTCCATATAAGTTTATCCATAAAGGATGACTTATTTTGTACTTTTATTCATTTGATACTTGACATATATATCAGGGACTATTTTTCATCAGGTGATATCCATAAAGGATAACCACTTGTTTACATTAATAAATACAATTGTTGCTAACACCTTTTAATATAATAATAATAATCATGTGAAATAAAATACATTATTTTAACTTTACCATACTTATTATGTATTTTTATTAATTAGGCTTAACACAAGAGGTATTCCTTCCTTTAATAACATTTTATTGATCACTTCACTGTTACATATAAGCCAGGGTTGTTACAGTGCGACTTCAATTCCCAGCCGCGTTTTTCTGTGTCTAGATTATACATCTTTCTTTTTCGGACCCAGTTTTGAAATTGTTCTTTTTTATTTCTTTTTATATCAGTAGAGTTTCCAATCCCTTTTATGTTAGTCTCAGGTAGTAGCTAAATAGATATTTTGAGCCATTGATGCTACAATGATCTGGCTTACCCTCAAAGACTGGCTGGCTTAGTAATTCATAATTTCCTGATGTTTTTGCGAATTATAACCACAATACACGGATAGTAATATTAAATACATTCTGTTTACAAAATGAATTGTCTCTAATAAAACTGCACCGAACTGTGATAAGAAATGAAACCTGTTTTGGAAAAAATTGAGTGCAACATTGTTATGAGATTATTTTTCTAGTTGGTTATAAGCTTATGTCAATTAGGGTTATTTCCTGCTAATTATCCAGTCATGATTGCCACATGTTATTTTTTGAAAATAAAACCCATAAAAGGTTAATTAAACTTACAAACTTTCTTGTCATGAGTATAATTGCGTAATCTATAGGCCTAACGCTTGAATAAAATAAACAAAACACAATTAGAATACAGATTTTTCTTAGTAGTTTTTATTCTTCATTTGTTCCATTAATTCATCCACATTACTCAGGAAAAGACACAGTTTTAAATTCGCGATTTTACATTCAGGCAAATAAAGGCGAAATCACCATGCTTGAAAATTTAGCATGTTTTACAGTATTTAGCAGACCCACAGACTTTTGGTCAGTTCTCTATTAGATCCTACTAAGGGGTAAAGTGCTCTCATTTGTCGGTCCTCTAGCGTGTCAACACAGCAAAGTCTCCCGTACCGACAATTTATTTGTCGGTCCTCTAGCCTGTCAACAAAGCAAAATCTAGAGTACCGACAATTGTCGGTACTCTAGCCTTTGCGCTATCATTTTGAGCTTAATGAAAGATTATAGAATGATGAACTAATGGGGCAAATCTTGTGTAGAAATACTTACGATAAATGTGTCATTTCAAAGATTTTTCATTGAATTGCTTCGATCGGAGCCGGCGATATGATTTTAGAAAGGTTTCTAAATGAAGAATGTGACGTCACTTCCAAATCATAGTATTCAAAATAAGTAGCGTTTAATTACTCCCACCATTCATAAAGTCACGGTGGTCTAGCGGTAGAATGCTCGCTTAGCACGCGGAAGGCTCGGGTTCGAATCCCGCTTTCGCCTTTTTATTTTTTTTAACTAGCCTAAATGATTGTTCTTTGACATTACGCAGATAATTTTTTTTTATTTACATAAACTTTATATTAGAGCTTGAAAATGTAAAAACAATATATGTCAACATATTGCGTTTTGGAGGTCGAAGGGTTTTTCAATAAAATATATTCCAAAAATTCTTGACACCCAGTAAGTCGTAGGGTCGAAGGGTCGTAGGTCGAAGGGTTTTTAGTACATTCCTTCTTAGTATGAAAATCTAGAACAGATTAGTTTTTGGCATTCTGGATAAATGTCAAGGCAGCCATTTTGGATTCTCTGTCCTCAAATCTTGTCTGTAAAGTCTTGTTTACATGTTTTCTGGTTAACTTTGTGACGGATCAATTTCAAATTTTCAGGGGCGGTTCTTAGTACGAAAATCTAGAACTGACTAATTTTTTGGCATTCTTGGTAAATTTTAAGGTGGCCATTTTCGATTCTCCGTCCTCAAATTGTGTCGGTAAAGTCTTGTCTACTCATTTTTAGGATAACCATTTGACGGGATCACCTATAGGTGGGGACATATTGTACACATTTGTATTCTTGTGTTACATTGACATTCTGTCAAAGTAACTAGTTGTGGAACAGTAATGCCTGGGGACATAGGAGATTTGCTCAAAAAAGAATTTTCAATATGGCAGCTGAATTTAAAAATGCCCACCATTTTTTGTAAAAGAGCGTAATCTAAATTACCAGTCAAAGGATTTGGTTCATAGGCTCAAATTTTACATACTGATGCCTGGGGATAAAGTTCTGGTTGAGAAGAAAATTGCAAAATAGCCCCCATTTTCCTTAAAATATTGTAACCTTTGATAACTCATATACTAGTGGACAGATTTTATATCCTGATGTCTAGAGATAAAGGAGCTCTGTTTAAGAAGGAATTTTCAAGATGTCCACTTATTATCAAAATGACCGCCATTTGTTGTTAAAAATGTAATCTTTGATAACCAAATATCAAATCACAAAAAAACAAATTTTATATGCTGATACCTATAGGGACAAAGGAGCTCTGTTCAAGAAGAAATTTTCAAGATGGTCGCTATTTATCAATACATGTTTTGTTCGTTGGGATTCACTTCTCCTTGAAGTCGCTGTTTTCTAGTTTTTATCACACCCTTAGGTGCTATATTGTAATCAGTTTGCCAGGCGGGCATCTGGAATAATCTTGTCTACAGGTTTCCAGCCAAACCGTTTGAGGGATTCATTTGAACTTCTGAGGGATGTTTCTACCTATGAAAGTTTAGAACTGATTAGTTTTTCGGTATTCTGGGTAAATGTTAAGGCGGCCATTTTGGATTTTCCGTCCTAAAATCTTGTCTGTCAAAGCTTGTCTACAGGTTTCCAGCCAAACCGTTTGAGGGATTCATTTGAAATTCTGAAGGATGTTTCTACCTATGAAAGTTTAGAATTGATTAGTTTTTCGACATTCTGGGTAAGTGTTAAGATGGCCATTTTGGATTTTCCGTCCTAAAATCTTGTCTGTCAAGGCTTGTCTACAGGTTTCCAGGCAAACTGTTTGAGGGATTCATTTGAAATTCTCAGGGATGTTTCTACCTATAAAAGTTTATAACTCATTAGTTTTTCGGCATTCTTGGTAAATGTTAAGTCGGCCATTTTGGATTTTTCGTCCTAAAATCGTGTCTGTGAAGGCTTGTCTACAGGTTTCCAGCCAAACTGTTTGAGGGATTCATTTGAAATTTTCAGGGATGTTTCTACCTATAAAAGTTTATAACTCATTAGTTTTTCGGCATTCTGGGTAAATGTTAAGGTGGCCATTTTGGATTTTCCGTCCTAAAATCTTGTCTGATAAATGTTAAGGTGGCCATTTTGGATTTTCCATCCTAAAATCTTGTCTGTCGAGGCTTGTCTACAGTTTCCACCCAAACCGTTTGAAACTGATTCGTTTTTCGGCATTCTGGGTAAAAGTTAAGGCAGTCATTCTGGATTTTAAGTTCTAAATCATGTCTGTCAAGGCTTGTCTACAGGTATCCAGCCAAACCCTTTGACGGATGCATTTGAAATTTTCAGGGATGTTTCTACCTATGAAAGTTTAAAACTGATTAGTTTTTTCAGCATTCTGGGTAAATCTTAAGGCAGCCATTTTGGATTTTCCGTCCTAAAATCTTGTCTGTCAAGGCTAGTCTACAAGTTTGATTAGTTTTTAGGCAGTCTGGGTAAATGTTAAGGTGGCCATTATGAATTTTCCATCCCGAAAAGTGTATTCTGTTCAAGGGTGAGATTCTGTTCACCCTGTGGCTTGTTTTATATTTGGAGGTGTGGACCATGTTCATTAGCTACTCCAGACAGTTACATTCCTTATCTTCCTTACCATTCATGACTCTAATTTAAGGGGTGAAATAGTAAGAGAAGAAAAATTTCCCGAATGATTATTTTTCTTATTGCAAGCAGAATTATTTATCCTTAAGCAGGGTTTGAACTAGTGGTGCAACTCGAATGCCAGTACTCGCCACTCACTCGTTGAACCTGTCCAAGATAGTTACTCGAGTATGTTTTTTCAAACTCGAGTAGGCATGTTTTATTATGAAGTGTTTTAAACCCCGGGAATGATGACTTTTTGCACTGAACGAAACAAAGTATCGATTCTGGAAACAAAATGAAAATATTTAAAAACAAACAAACAAACACAATTATGGCATGAATAACTACATTTATTCTCACTAAATTGATACAAACTATATATAACATCAATAACATATAGAAGAAACGAAGAAATTGAATCTACTTGGTCTTCAAACACTTCAAAAACTTCGACTACGTGAGTTTTTTATTTTTTTAAAATTTTTCCCTCATTTTTGCGAGTGGTACTCGATTACAGTGGCATTTTCACACTTTCTACTCGAGTAGCATTTTTCTTGCGAGTTGCACCACTAGTTTGAACCCACGACAAATATATCTCAGGAAAACCTCTACCTCCTTAAAGGACCATATGCACTCTCCATTGGGATCTCCCCATGAGAAAAAAATAATTCATCTGATTTTTCAAAATGAGTATTCTGTTTTAATTATTACATTTATATGCACACTAGTATCTTGTTGACCTATATTCAGCACTGTATTGATGTATAGGCCACTTAGGGTCATAATTCAATCATGAAGTTTAGAGGCATAGATTCCAAACCAGGAAGTATTTTTGTGTCTGTCAAAATCCATTTGCATCCTCCACATTCCCTACATCTTATCTAAATATGTTACAACGTAATGAAATATAATAGTATATTCTTTGGTTTTACAAAGTTGTATGATTTTTGATAAGTGTAAAAGTTGTTTTTGAAGCATTTTTCTATAGCCATTTTGTAGGGAAAATCTTTTAATTTTAAGTATGACCTGAATCGATTGCAAACTTCATATTTGCACATTTGATGAGATAAACCATTTGTGCCATATTGTGAAATTATTATTAAGTTTGTAATCAATTCAGGGCATAGTGTATTTTTGGTATTTTTGTGATAATCAATGGAAACCAATGGCCTCTATTGGGTTCTGCTGATATCCTCATGTTACCGGATTTTCTCGCATATACGCCCCCCTAAATTTAGGCCCATGGGCCAAAAATCGAATGTAGTACGCTTATATGCCCATGGGCCTATAAAAATGACTATTTATTGATTTTTTCAATAAATTCAAGAGTATTTTGTCACTGGCAGATCGTTCTGTCGTTACTTTGTTTCAACATTAAGTTCAACGCTGTGCCGTAAGTGGCAGTGGTGGATCGTTCTGTTGTTACTTTGTTTCAACATTAAGTCCAAGGTTGTAGGTGACATTTCCTTTATAATTCTTACAAAACATGCAGTAGGACTACAACAGTAGGTACGGTGGTCTTTGAGGAAGATGGCTCTTCTCACCTTTACGCCCACTGGGCCAAAAATCGAAAGTAGTACACTTATACGCCCATGGGCGAAAAATAAGAGGTAAAATAACAGACGAAATTACCCCTTCTTTCAGTTATACGCCAAGGGCTTATATGCGAGAAAATCCGGTAAATCAATGATGCACAGCCCCATGTAAGTCAATACAACCTTACTGAACTAAATGGCCCCTATCTCAGCCTATGTGTGCCCAAGCACTTTAATATTTTCCAAAGAGTTATATGACATTCTTTTTTCATGTTACACCAGTGTGGCAAATAAGAGGTCACCAAACGCCAAAAACAGGGAGTGAAAAAAACTTGGCGATAGATGTTGCGATCTACCTCGACAATTTTGGCGATGGATGTAATCTAACTTCACAGGTTTTATCCCCGACATTTGCTTGATCTTCTCACAAAAAATCATCGCAAAACAATGTCTAGATCTATCAAAATATTAGCGAACCAATACGAATTAAAATATTCCTTTTTACACACGAAACCAAATCGTTATAGAACCGCTGCTCTAATTGGCCGAAATACTAAGAATGAAGCGATGTCTACCAATCAAAACCATCTATACATCAATGCTACGATCCCTTTATTTGTTTATCTGGCGAAGCACGTGGCTAGGGGATGAATCAAAAATGCAACAAAACAAAACTCAGTTCGAACAAGACATAAGGTCATACTGCATTCTAATAGCATTAGCGATCATTTTTTTTATCTTAAATTAACTCCTAAAACCCTGCCTTGATTGCTCAACCACTGGGTTTATCAAGATTAGTTCCCGGATTAGTTATCTCTCTCCATATTACTAGAAAGAGTTCACGCTGAGCTTACATTGAGACGGCCCCTAATTTCTTTAAGATGCGCAGACGCACTGCGCAGTAGGTCTATCAATGCCGGTCACAGTGACCTCGTCTATCAGAGTTCTCGCTGGGTATTTTTAATTACTCCATCAAGTAGAGAGATTAAATACACTAGATTTGAAGTTGATCCTATGAAGATAGATACCGGGCACATTAAGAACCAGTCCATCGCATATTTAAAGGTGGTTACAATGATAAACTGGATATGGAAACAAATCCACTTTCACTTTCAGTTTAATCTGATCGATGGATTACCATATTCACTTTCAATAGCGCCCAGTAATGCCGTATCGTTGTCAGTCTTATTTTGAAATTCAACGTCTTCCTGTTTCAACTTTCCATACCCCATCAAATGTTAGGTTAATCAAATCACACCACCTTCGCAACTACATGTACTTGTGTACATTGAAATCTCAGGACGATTGAAAATAAGATTTATAGTGGTTATTTAGATAAAATTCAGAATTAATAGCAGTGCTTTGAGAATAATGAATATTCTTTCCTTTATTTTTACAGTCAAAATTAGGTGAACACAAAATTAACTCGACAAAATAATGGCGAGACAGAAATTTTTTTGGCCAGAGTGTTTTTAATGTCTCTGGACAAATTTGGCTACAGCGAAAAAATCCTTATTTGCCAGACTGTACACCTAAGAATTATTCATTTTGACCATAGGGGTATTTGCCAATAAATGCACCTCTTCCTTTAAGGTGTCCTTTACGTGACACCAGGATGACAGACAATGACCTTGACGTGCATGTAGCTTCATCGTGCTATTTTATTCTAAGAATGAAACAATTAACTTACTTTCTATCGCGACTATTGTAACCTGTGTCATTGGCACAGCTGAGCGAAGTACGGTGTTTCACCTTCCATATATGGATCTTGTTTTTTATTCTAAGTATGAATCAATTAACTTATTTTCCACTACGACTATACCTTTATCATTTACATAGCTGTTCGAATGACGTAGAAGTGAATGCTAACTGCGTGTTTCATATTATATTGAACAACATAATTAGTTTGATAAAAATAGTCATGTAATTGCAAAAATGACATTATTGTGTATATTGGTAGTTATTAACCAGACATCATCAACAATTGATATATCAAGTTTAATGTTATCCTTGTTTGAAGTAACAATTGTCAGCTTTTATAATTGAAGTTCGTTTTTAATTTCAGTGGACCTCAAAAATGTCAATCTTGATTTTAAAAATCATTGTTCTTAATGTTATATTTTTAATTTGCAGATACCAAATTCGACAAAAAAAGAATGTTGTGGAAAAACAGCAATTTTTCTCCCCAAAAAAAGTTTTTTTTCTATGAATTTAGATAGATATGTGAATTAGAATCATAAATTCAAAAAAAATTCAGTTTTCTTATTGAAATATTGAGAAATGTTTGCTGTGTATTTTAGGCAAGTCGTCAAACAAAAAGCAACAAAGATGGCGCTCCAAGCTCATCGTGGTTTTCCTCGGGGACTGCATGGGCGGCAAATATTGCAGAAAATCTCCAACTGAACATTAAAAATGTGCACCTACGTTACGAAGACAGTACTACAATCCCAGGATGTCCTTTTGCTTGTGGGATAACAATAAAAAGTTTATCTGCTCAAAGTACAGATGGTCAATGGGTAAATAACTAAATATATTAATCTTTTATTTTTACGATCTTTATTTTCTTTTATTGACATAAGCTGGGTATCAAATAGATAAAAATCAAGCTGATTTACTTTCCCTATTTTGCTATGGAGATCCTCTTCTATCTATAGAAACAAACTGCCAAATTCTGTCCAAAGTTTCTGACTTTGTCTCTGTCAATATGTGATTCTCCTCCCCAAAACACCATCCCCTTTCTCCTTACAAGTGCACCCTCCCCATTTGTTGCCTCGTTTACTATTATTATTTATTTCATGTATCATTTTATGAGTCAAGCCACATGAAAAGGGGTCTTATCACAGATTTTTCAATATTTTGTTTTTTGTTTATCTTAAAAATCACAGAAAGACCTTTCAAATGAGCCATGACTTATGACTTAACGATTTTTCCTTGCATATATATACCAAAAAGTCGGATTTTAATTTAGCACATTTTCCTCTTAATCTTGGGCACATTTTTGGCTCTGTAGCACAATTAAAATTTTTGTGATAAGACCGGTTTTCCTATGGCCAGGCTCATATATTGTTTGAATGTCCATTTGTCCCGTAATGCCCTCAGGCGATTAGAATTATGTATTGTCATAAAAACTTTGAATAAATAAATTTTTATTACTTAAAAAATCATCATTAAGTTTAATGTCATTTAAACTTTACATGGGACCTTTAAGATTTCTATCTTTTTGCTTTCAGTCACCCATGTTTGTAAACAAGTCTGACGCAGACATGATGCGAAAACTCGTAGATCTGCAAGATTTCTCAATATATTGGGATACAGATTCTGCTCCTGTTGGCCACCTTTCTATGGATGGCCTGGCTGTATGTATTTTTGAGTTTCTCTAAGTTATATGTTATTTATTGTATAAAACTATTTGCGTCTGGGAATTTTAAGGTTTCTCAGTATATCTCGAAACAGATTCGGCGCCCCTCATAGATGAATTAAGATGAATTTTTCACTCGCAGAGTTCACTCATTACACTCTTGCCTAGTGTTTTTTCTCTTATTGCAAAATTAATATTTTAGATAAAATCCCGAAATCAAATGTCACCAATGTTTTGTATAAGAAATCAGGATTAAACTTGCATTTTAGGACTGAATATCTTTACATTTATTTTTCTACTCCGTAAATATATGTAACATTTCCAGGATGTTTTGCAAAGGAGTATGTTTGAGACGCATTCAACGTCACAATTTCAAGACCACCGGTACGTAATCGAGCCAATCACAGCACAGGCAAGGATGCGTCGCAACACGTCATCTTTACCCCTGAGGTCCATGACAACCCCAAGGATCACCCTGGATATCACTCTAGAGGCCCTGATGGTTTCTCTTGGGGAGGAACAATACCGTGGTCTAGTCGCCTGGATGCGGGAATTTGAACGCTACGATAAACGCCATAAGTTCCTAAAATGGCGACCACATGTCCCTGTGAAAAATAAGTAAGTGTTAAACATGAAGGTTTCTCTTGATAATGAATGTGTAACTAGGGGTAAAAATAAAAGTTGCCAGTTATCTATTGTATGACTATAAATACAATGTAGGTGAGGCAAATACAATGTAAGTGAGGCATATGAAATGTAGGTGAGGCAAATACAATGTAGGTGAGGCAAATATAATGTAGGTGAGGCAAATACAATGTAAGTGAGGCAAATGCAATGTAGGTGAAGCAAATACAATATAGGTGAGGCAAATACAATGTAGGTGAGACAAATACAATGTATGTGAGGCAAATACAATGCAAATGAGGCAAATTTAGGGGTTTGGCTAGTACCCCTGAGATCTGATTAGAACCTGTTTAAATGTCAACAAACTTAAAAGCAAATGAATGTAATTCAAATGTCATTTTTCAGTGCCAAGCAGTGGTGGAAATATGCAATACAGTCAAGACTGAGTGAGATTACTGAAAGAAATAAGCACAACACGTGGGGCTTCGTACTTGAGAGAAGCAGAAATATCGTAAAATATGTTAGCATTTATACAACACAGCTCTCCAATGGGCATCTGGATTATAAAATGAAGGTAATTGTATGTGACACCTTGAATAAAACTGCACTCATATCATGAGCTGGTTTAATGGAGTTTTGTCAATGATTTAGGACATCATGTCCAGGGGCCTATTCAGGCAAGGCAAAATTTAAGCCAAAGAGAATTTTTATACTTTTTTATAATTAATTTCAGATTCTGTGTTTATGTCAATGTGACACAAGCCAGGCACCACATGCATCAAGTTTAAAAATTGAAAATTTACCTATACTAGATGAAGTTCCATTTCTGGAAACACAAAGAATATGTAAATTGATTTACGAAATTGTGTCCTCCTGGTAAGATAAAATGATGGGAAAAATACCTTTGGTATCTCTAAAATGTGTTCCACTTGGGAAGTGTTCCACTTATAGAGGTTCATTTAACATTAAGTCAGTTGGTTTCGGACTCTTCCACTTCTCGAGTATGTTCCACTTTGCAGGTTTGACTCTTCCACTTCTCGAATATGTTCCACTTTACAGGTATGACTCTTCCACCTCTCGAATATGTTCCACTTTACAGGTTTGACTCTTCCACTTCTCGAATATGTTCCACTTTGCAGGTTTGACTCTTCCACTTCTCGAATATGATCCACTTTACAGGTTTGACTCTTCCACTTCTCGAATATGTTCCACTTTACAGGTTTGACTCCTTCACTTCTCGTATATGTTCCACTTTACAGGTTTGACTCCTCCACTCCTCGAATATGTTCCACTTTACAGGTTTGACTCTTCCACTTCTCGAATATGATCCACTTTACAGGTTTGACTCTTCCACTTCTTGAATATGTTTCACTTTACAGGTTTGACTCTTCCACTTCTCGAATATGTTTCACTTTACAGGTTTGACTCCTTCACTCCTCGAATATGTTCCACTTTACAGGTTTGACTCCTCCACTCCTCGAATATGTTCCACTTTACAGGTTTGACTCTTCCACTCCTTGAATATGTTCCACTTTACAGGTTTGACTCTTCCACTCCTCGAATATGTTCCACTTTACAGGTTTGACTCCTCCACTCCTCAAATATGTTCCACTTTACAGGTTTGACTCCTTCGCTTCTCGAATATGTTCCACTTTACAGGTTTGACTCTTCCACTCCTCGAATATGTTCCACTTTACAGGTTTGACTCCTCCACTCCTCGAATATGTTCCACTTTACAGGTTTGACTCTTCCACTCCTCGAATATGTTCCACTTTACAGGTTTGACTCTTCCACTTCTCGAATATGTTCCACTTTACAGGTTTGACTCCTTCACTTCTTGAATATGTTCCACTTTACAGGTTTGACTCCTCCACTTCTCGAATATGTTCCACTTTACAGGTTTGTATACTGTATACGCAAATTCTGTCATTTCAGGAATTAAAAGAGACCGTTGAGAGTCAATTAACCTTCAGTGAACTGAAAGCCCTTGGTGACATAGCAAGAGAAAGGGCCTCAAAACTTGTCCCAGTAGAACCTGAATCAACAAACATAGATCAATCAGGGGGTGCTCAACAAGGTCTGTTCCAGAGCTGGTTTCCTGCATGGGGAGGGTGGTCGGCACAGCCAGAATCTCCCGTAAGTACAAAGGACAATGGAATAAGTTTAAAGCAAGTTTATATCTATTCTTAACTTAATTGGTTCAAGATGATTTGTAGTGAATAAATAAAAGTAACAATTTCCAAATACATATAGGCTTGAAGAAATTCCAATTAACTTGAGGTAATTTGGGTTTTCTTAACTTAATATTGAAAATACTGTCTCTTAGTTATTATCTCATTTAAAGAATATATTTATGACAGTCTCTAACCATAAAGTATATATATTTCTTTCACATTTGAAATATTCTGAATGATTTGAAATTTGTGCTGTAGGACTCGAGGAGCATAGATGTTGGCGAACCACCACCCAGTAAGAAAGGCAGAGACAGCCCACCTCAACCCTCCGTAGATGACATTCAAATAGGTAAATGCCTATTAGTATATGTCATAGTGAATATTTTAAATGTTTGGAACTACTTTGAATTTAAAAAATAAGCAACCAAAGGACCATATTGAAACAGTATATGTAAAAATAGAAACATTCATACATGTCCTAACTTTTGTATATTTTTTTATTTAGTTTGTTATGCCATCACATCTGTGGCCTCTTATATTTTGATACTTCTCTGCCATATTATTTTTGGAAAAATTAACATGGCTGAAACTCCCTAAATTACAAAAGGCCACAGCTTTACTGCACATTATACATTACTATCTGAAATATACAAAAGTTAGGATTAATATAAATGTTTCTATTTTTACATAAACTGTTTCAATATGGTCATTTGATTGCTTATTTTTTAAAATCAAAGTACTCACAAACATTTAAAATTTTACTATAGCTCCTATATAACTATCTGAAATATACAAAAGTTAGGACAAGGACGTTTCTATTTTTTCATATACTGTTGCAATATGTTCATTTGATTGCTTATTTTTTTGATTCAAAGTAGTTCCAAACATTTAAAATTTAAGTATAGTGAATATTTTGGCTTTTATCATCAGGTTTCTCCTTAATAAATACAACAGGGACAACAATATTCCTTGGGGGGCAGTTTTCTTTTTACATGGGGTTAAAGTTTAATGTTTCAATTTTGCATAATACTCAAGGGGCGAGGAGGAAAATTCTCAATAAATGGTGTATAGTTGGTTTGGCAGCATTTTCAGTTAGGGGAGAGTCTTGGATGAAACTTCCACCTAGGTGATAGCTTCACAGAGTGGTAGGAAGTTCTTTTTTTTGAGGAGTTAGCCCCCCACCCCCCAAAAACACCCCACCCTGGGGAAAAAATTGTTCACAATAAATAACCTTAGATATTTTGATGTTTGTAAGTGATATACATAGATATTATATATATGAATCACTTGCAGTATAATTGCTGCTGATAACTCCTAAAGAATTTGAAAATTTGTACAAAGTATGTACCCCAGGGGGCAAATTCGTGACTCATTTTCTTACTATTTTGATCCTAACTTTTCAATTAGACACTGTAAGAGGTTGGAAAAATCCATGTGAAGTGCCCAATAGCAGGGTTAGTAACCCTGAAAGATGCAAAGTCATGGAAGAAGTAGGAGCTGAGAAAGAAATTGTTGATTTTTCGAAAAATTTGACATTTTTGACAGCTGGATTTTGTGTACGACTATAGCTGACCCTTATAATTTCTAGATCCATCCCTCTATGATGATATTCATGGTTTTATAGTGTGAAACTAAGATGTAAAACATAATTTAGATGGGTTTTATGGAAGTTAAAGGTTTTAAACAAGTCCAAAATTTAAAAAATTGTAAATATAAGGATTCAAATTTACGAATTCCAGGTATAGCCATGGCTGACCCCTAAAGTTTCTAGATCCATCCCTCTATGATGATATTTATGGTTTAATAGTGTGGAACTAAGATGTAAAACATAATTAAGATGGGTTTTAAGGAAGTTAAAGGTTTTAAACAAGTCCAAAATTTGTAAAATTGTAAATATAAGGTTTCAAATTTATGAATTCCAGGTATAGCCATGGCTGACCCCTATAGGTTCTAGATCCATCCCTCTATGATGATATTTGTGGTTTTATAGTGTGGAACTAAGATGTAAAACAAAGTTTAGATGGGTTTTAAGGAAGTTAAAGGTTTTAAACAAGTCCAAAATTTGAAAAATTGTAAATATAAGGTTTCAAATTTACGAATTCCAGGTATAGCCATTGCCGACCCCTATAGTTTCTAAATCCACCCCTCTTTGGTGATATTTATGGTTTTGTAGTATGGAACTAAAGATGTAGAACATAATTTAGATGGGTTTTAAGGAAGTTAAAGATTTTAAACAAGTCCAAAATTTGAAAAATTGTAAATATAAGGTTTCAAGTTTACAAATGTTAGGTATAGCCATGGATGACCCTTATGGCTTTTTCATCTATACCTCTATGATGAAACATATATTTTTAGAGTGTGAAACTAAGAAGTAAAACATACCGAAGATGAATTTTAAGGAAGTTTAAGAATTTTAACAAGTGCAATGTTTGAAAAATTGAGAAATATCAGGTCTCAAAGGAGCACGGAAAGTATTGCAACATATTTCAGACAGTCATATGTTAGATTTTGTCTGTTTCCTGAGGAGGTGCATATGATAGGCCATTGCATTACCTACAGGAAAAGAACTCTTCGAGATGATAAAATAGTTTGGACTTTGAGACAGCGAAGGTGCAAACAATCCACCCACATGTTTTTTTGGAAATGTTATGATTGTCAAGCCCTTTCACCCCTGCTTTTTCAATTTTTGTTGCATCAATATGTTGCGTTTTGAGACATAGTTAACCCATAAAAAGGAATAATAAATTTCTTTTAGATAAAGCAGAAAACAATATTTTCCTGTTATTTTCCCATAGGGAAAACTCATGTGCTCCATTACTTTCAGCTTAATTTTGGTCACCCATATTTGATATCTTTTAAACCCCTGATGGAATGCATTATTTCTTTAAAGGGGTTAACTGTGTGTCAAAACACAACATATTGATGCATGTGGGTTGGTTGTTTGCACCCTGTCTCAAATAGAAATTATTTTATCATCTCTATGAGTGCTTTTCCTGGAGGAAATGCATTGGCCTAACATATGCACCTCCTGAAATCCTCATAAAATAGCAAAAATCCAACACGTGATTGTCCTAAATCTGTTGCGATACTTTCAGTCCTCCTTTACGATTTCAGGTATTGCCTTGGATGTCTCTCTTTTTGAGTGTATGACTTTTTAGCTTAGAAATTAGATGTTGAAAATATTGTGGTCAGGTTTGATCCATGTTACAAGTATTGTTAGAAGAAAAATCATTAGAGTTGAGGACCTTACCCTAGAGTTCCTAAGGGGTTAATAAATCCCCCCCCCCTAAAGTGTAACTGCTCTTTGGGATATCGTATACAGTGTAATAATTGATTGATTAAATGGATTATAACTAATAAATTATTATCTGATGATATTTATAATGTGATATAGCATTTTTACTTTTTCACATCAACATGTTCGATGTAATGTTCTACATTGTCAAAATACATAAAGACATGGTTAATCAAAAGAAACATGATTTCTCTATATTTTGTTATGCCCATACTGTAATTAAGCAATGATCATCTCCTTATACAAAATATTATTATAAATTATCAAATTATAATCACTACACTCCCAATAAATTAACTTGTCATCAGGCAACAGTAACCATTTGGGAAAAGAAGGATTATAAGGATCATACCCCGCTGGGCCTAGAAACTCCCGTTAGTGCAATGAGATTAGGAACTCCGGGGTAAAAGGGTCTTGTCACACTAAAATCTTCATGTAGATCAAAAAAGTATATATGGTGATATATATGATCAATATGTTTCAAACAAACAGACATTGTAGAAAATGTTTACATACTGACTTTGCAGATGACATTTTCTAGCAGTTGAAGAATTTTTTATATTTATTGAAATGATAGTCATAAAATTAGAATATCAGTGTCATTTGATGCAAATTACTGCAGTCCCACATGTTCTCCTGCTGAATGTAAAACAGAGTGAATAAGTTTAAAATCAGCCTCTTCAAGAGTGGAATTTAACAGGGGATTTCAGTTATCATTTTCACAGATATTTAAGTTCTCTCCAATAGTTCCACTTAAAACAATTTTGACATTTGGCACACTTTTAGAATTCTGCTTTATTAAATTTCTTTGTAATCTTTGAAAATTTGTATTATATGACTTGGCCAAAAGGTATTCATATTTTTAGGTAATGGTGTAATTTCTTCTTTGGATTAAAGTTCAGTAGGGAAAGCATCCATTCTTCGCATTCTTTCAGAATCCTTTACTGATGGAGACTACTAGGAGTCTAATATGAAATCTATTCTTTGGGCTCCTTTACTAGATTTGATGGAGTAGTCAAATATAGCTTTCCAAAACTCTCCAAATTTCAACATATAAGTTAATCTTAATTTTCCTTTTGTCATAGCCATTGCATCGATCATGAAAGTTTTATCAATTTGTGGCATGGTTTCATCGATCTCCATTTCAAACCCCTTTTTAAGTTCTGATTTTACAGATAAGATAGATGATCATTGTCAAACGAACTGTTTGTATCCATAATATAAGATCATAGTTTACTCAGACATAGCTAGGCAACGTGTGTCCAATTCCAGCCAATGCAATACTCCATACAACTGCATTCCAAATTACTACTCTCATAAACCCAAGGTCAATTTTAGATTCTAGAGAAAGTAATGAAACCAATAAGCCGATCAATAACATTGACTAAAAATCTATAAATAGCATCATAGGGAATAGCATGCCAAGTGCTTGAATTTATGTGGATTACTCATTTGGTAGACACCTTTATCAAATCTTAAAGTGTTGTTGATTTTCAAGTTGTACAAGCAAAGTCTCATAGTATTAACATTGTGGTAAAAATTATCAAATGCACCTAGTACAGTATTTCTAGTTCTGAACTCCCGTGCAGTGATATATCACTGCGGCGGGCAGGTATCTCATCGTAAGCATGGTAACTTCGTAATAAACAACTGACGTGATTGGTTCTAGTCCCATGCTCAGGTCGCGTGATTGTAAAATTTAGACAATTTCATTGGTTGAATTGCGTGTATTTACTAATAAACAACACGTGCAGTAAACTATTATCAACACAACTTTTACTCAGAATTCCTTCCGCGGTGATTTCTTCTCATATTTCAATAATTTTGAAATATTTTGACAAAATAATGTTTGGGGAACATTCATGAATAGATATTTTATAAGTTGTGTGAAAATTGACCACATATATGATGAAAAGGGGAACTATTTTCCCCAAATTTTGGAGATTTCTTCATCTGCCCGCCGCAGTGTCTATACCGAGACACTGCATAGGAGTTCGTTCTAGTTCATCATCTTGTATAAATGATATATCATCCGTGAAACCTGTATATCCCAACATCTGACTATTGTGAATACCTACCAATCATCCCAACACCTGACTAATCTGAACACCAACCAATCTGAACACTTTTCCCAGTCCAATTTTCCTCCCATTGACTCCCTATGTTTAAAAAATTTAAATCTGAACACCTCTTACTTCGAACAGTGAACACTCATATTTGAAAAATTAACCTGTCTAACTTGAACTCTTTACCAAATATCACATATTTCTTACAAAATTGCTCAAATATTGCCAGTTTAACACTGAATTGTTATGATATCAAAACTTTTGAATTGGATTTTGGAATGCTATTAAGCTTTTTATGTGGTCAGTATAAATATTATTAATATTTTTCATTGAGAATGCATTCATATTTCTTCAAAATCCAGAACTTGTATTGTAGATGTAAAAACCTCAAAATCCAAACACTCCTAATTAGAATGCTTTTAGCTGGTCCAAATACCAGTAGCACTCAGATTAGAGAGATTTTACTGTAGTTCACGACTTTTCACTCCATCTATATGCAGCAGACTAACTGCTGCAACAGGTATATATTCTACACCTGGTCCCTAAGCTATGATATCATAGTTGATACTATTATGCTCATAACCTTCAATTATCAGGGCTCATTCAAGGCTGTACCTGAATAACGTGAATTTGAGACCGATTTTGAGATCAATTTTTCAAATTTTGCACTTGTTTAAAACCTTGAACTTCCTTCAAACTCATCTTAGGTATCTTTTACATTCTAGTTAAATACTCTTAAAACTATATATTTCATCCCAGAGGTATAGATGTAAAAACCATAAGGGTCATCTTTGGCTATACCTGAAATTCATAAATTTGAAACCTAACATTTACAATTCTTCAAATTTTGGACTTGTTTAAAACCTTAAACTTCCTTAAAATTCATTTTGGATATGTTAAATCTTAGTCCCACACTCTAAAACTGTATATTTAATCATACAGGTATGGATGTAAAAACCATAAGGGTCAGCCGTGGCTGTACCTGAAATTTGTAAATTTGAAACCTTATATTCACAATTTTTCAAATTTTGGACTTGTTTAAAACCTTAAACTTTCTTAAAACCTATCTAAATTGTGTTTTACATATTAGTTCCACATGGCAAAACCATAAATATCATCATAGAGGAATGGATCTAGAAAATATAGGGGTCAGCCATGGCTATACCTGGAATATGTAAATTTGAAACCTTATATTTACAATTTTTCAAATTTTGGACTTGTTTAAAACCTTTAACTTCCTTAAAACCCATCTAAATTATGTTTTACATCTTAGTTCCACACTATAAAACCATAAATATCATTATAGAGAGATGGATCTAGAAACTATAGGGGTCAGCTATAGTCATACACAAAATACAACTGTCAAAAATGTCAAATTTTTCGAAAAATCAACAATTTTTTTCTCAGCTCCTACCTTTTCAATGGCTTTGCATCTTTCAGGTTTACTAACCCTGCTATTGGGCACTTCCCATGAATTTTTTCAACCTCTTGCAGTGTCTAATTGAAAAGTTAGGATCAAAATAGAAAGAAAATGAGTCACGATTTTGCCCCCTTGGGTACACACTTTGTACTATTATTCAGTTTTCTTAGGAGCAATCAGCATCAATTATACTGCAAATGATTCATATATATAATATCTATGTATGTTACTTACAAACATCAAAATATCTAAGGCTATTTACTGTGAACAATTTTTTTCCTCGTATGGGGTGTTTTTGGGGGGTGGGGGGGCTAACTCCTCAAAAAAAAGAACTTCCTACCACTTTGTGAAGCTATCACCTAGGTGGAAGTTTCATCCAAGACTCTCCCCTAACTGAAAATGCTGCCAAACCAACTATACACCATTTATTGAGAATTTCCCTCCTCGCCCCTTGAGTATAAGGGATTGTGTGAATGTTAATTGTGAAATAATTATGCAAATCAACTGTTTGATAAGGTAAAACATAGGGGTTTGTTAATATTAGAAATAATTACTAAAAACATTGATATTTTGACAGGGATTCGTATGTACATTCCAATTTATAGATATTCCACGACCTTTGTCCCTCGTCAATTGTTGAAATTCATAAAAATTTGTGTAATTTGCAGAAAAAGACATCTTGAATGCTATAGCCGATTCGGAAGAGAATAATACATTGCTGAAACGAGATGCTGTCTTTGCACAATTGAACTTTCGGCTACAGTCTGGAACTTTTCGACTCAATGAAATATGGTCGCCAAGTCTTGGTCCAGGTAGGTGTATGTTTAATCAAGCAGAGTCGAATGAGAAATATCTTTGCATTGTTGAGCTGTTCTGGATGGAACCTTCCATTTCAATGAGATATTTTCACCCAGTTTTGGCTGAGGTTAATGTCAAATCAATTATGAAGAAATGTGGATTTCACTGAAACACAGTTTATTATATTTCCCTTGAATTTTCAAAAATAGCATTGAATCCCTACCATGGTTCGTGTAATCTTTTGTATGGAGTTTATTTCACAATATATTCTTATCTTTTGAATGATATACTATGATTCATTTCAATTTCCAGCGCCATCACCCATCTTGGAGCTGGAGTGTTCTTTGATTAACATGATGTTAGAAAGTCGCCCACGTGCCAAAGCTATGAAATTTGCAGTCAGTGTAGGGGGTCTTACACTCAGGGATGCTATGACGAAAAATTCTATCTTTCCAGTCTTAGTTGGGGCCCAGAGCAAGGTTTGACTGATCTTTTATAACACAGTTCTACAATTATTGAAAAATTATGAAAAAAAGGAAAACTGAGTTAAATTTTACATTGATATTCAGTATTACAGTAAAACCTGTCTAATGTGAACACCTCTGGGATCGGCCAAAAGTGTTCAGATTAGCAGGTGTTTACATTTCAAGGTTTGATAAACATGTAAGTCAATGGGAGATTACAAATTTGGGACCGGGAAAAAGTGTTCACATTAAAAGTTGTTCGGATTAGAGAGGTGTTCAGATATGCATCTTATAACACTCTTAGTACTTTTGTTGTGCGCTCTTTATAAGCTGACTGTTAAATACATGTGTCTGAATTTTATTTAAAAATAGAGAACATATTTCCCAAATCCAGTAAAATTATTTTTCATAGGAAAGAAGCAGTGGTCAACTGAGGCATTTTGGGCTGCTTAGTAATCGGCCCAAGTCCCCTACATACACACAACCAGGGGGCGCTATGGGTCGCCCAACTTCACTTGTACCAGAGACATTATTTGAATTAACTTATGAACAAAGGCCACATAACTCGACTGCTGACTTTAGGTAAAAAACTCAAAAATTGTAAATTTTTTAGATTGATCTTGTAAAAGAAAACTTCCTTTCATTATATGTATTGTAATATATCTGATATGTTGATGTTAAATCAGAAAAAAATAAAATAAATAAAACTAACAGTCGCAACCTTGGCTTTCAATAGCATGCTCCAAAGAATCCTAAATAAACTTGAATTGTAATTTTCTGAGATTAATGATTATTATATTAAGTCATTTTTGAACACCCTACATACAGGTATTATATTTTTCAGTTTGGAAATGAAGACGCAACCACTAGACATGGTTTACAATGCTGATGTCATTGACAGACTCTGCGATTTCTTCCAGTCAAATACCTCAAGTAAACTAGCGTCACACCAAACTGAGCTTCAATTAACTGGTGAGTATTTAAAGTAAACTAATGTCACACCAAACTGAGCTTCAATTAACTGGTGAGTATTTAAAGTAAACTAATGTCACACCAAACTGAGCTTCAATTAACTGGTGAGTATTTAAAGTAAACTAATGTCACACCAAACTGAGCTTCAATTAACTGGTGAGTATTTAAAGTAAACTAATGTCACACCGAACTGAGCTTCAATTAACTGGTGAGTATTTAATGTCATACCAAATAGAGCTTCAATAGCATCACACCAAACTTAGCTTCCATTAACTGGTGAGTACCTTAAAGCAAATTAATGTCACACCAAATTGAGCTTCAGTTAGCTGGTGAGTACCTCAAGTAAAATATTTTCACACCAAATAGATCTAGGGTTGACCAATGCCCACATAGCTATTGATACTTTAAGGCAAACTTCCTATATGAGGTCAGATTTAGCATTCATGATTTTGATTTTAGATTGAGTATTCTTTGTCTATTTTTCAGCTGCAATGCAACACCGCTACCAAGAACTAAAGAGTCAAACCAAAGCTGAGTTGAAACAGACATTAGATGAGATATTGGAGGGAGAACAAAAGGTTTGTGATGTCATCAATTATGGATGTACAGCAGGGGTTTCACTAGAATTTCTCACAAATTGTAGAGTCACTAGAATTTCTCACAACAGGCTAAATAAATGAAAACAATGGGCAGAATTAATGGAAATCATAAATTTAACATGGAAAAGTTGAAAAAGTCCCTAAAAACAAGAGACGATTTTTTGAAAACAACCATTGAAAATCGCCTGTTGCCTGCTGCTAATGAAACCAATGTATGATAAAACCTGTGTAAATTGATCTGATGGCAATGGGTCACGGATCTGTGAAAGTGCTCTGCGAACAGGGGGACTACTCGAATAATTGGTTAATCACCTAATTAGTAAATTACCAACTAAATATTAATTATTCAAATCAATTCACACATATTGTCATTTTATTTATTTAGGTGAAAGCAAAGCGATGGGCTATAAACCTCGACATATCAGCCCCGCAGATTATTCTACCTGAGAATTTTCTGGAACAAAATCCAACAATCGTGCAATTTGATTTTGGTCACCTGAAATTTAACAGTGCATCTCAGACCGTTAAACCACGTCAGAGTGTTAGTGAAACATCAGAAGAGACAGAAGGTTAGAGACTTTAGTGACTCCTTTAAGGATCATGTTTATTAACTCATTTGTGTTTGATATTCAGTTTTGAAAGACTTAAAGGCCCCATGGAAAGATTTATATTCATGTAATGATTTACATCATTTGTGTTTGATATTCATTTTTGAAAGATTTAAAGGCCCCATGGAAAAAAATTTTTATTCATGCAATAATTTCCATGAAAAATATTTATTTTTGTAAAAAATTAATTGTTATTTGCCTTTTGTTTTTGATATACAAATTTCCCAGCATTTTTACAATAAAAGTTGATTTTTTCAAATCAATGAAAGTAAAATTTACCCAGTGTGGCAAAGATCTGTATTTCATACAAAGAACCATCACTGAAAATTGGGAATAATTCCATAAAATGGTTTGCCGGGAAATGCATAGACAAGATAAATCAGACACTTGCCCACCTCTGCCTGGCAAACTGATCACAATATAGCACATAAAAACCATAGAGTGGCAGGTTTTGTAGTGTTTCATTCAATGTTTTAACATTTCCAGATGATTTCCTGACCCCCTGTTCAACTCCCCCAAGCCCTAGTATGGACTCGGAGACGACAGAGGGAGATGGTGTTAAAAGGTCTTTTTCTGAAATGTTTTCGAGTGAAATTTCAGAGTCTGCCATTCACGACAAAGTTTACGACAAGTAAGTTCAGTAAAATCTAACTCAGAGGAACACCTTTGATGTCTCCAAAAAGTGTTCCATTTGGGAAGTGTTCTTGGGACTCTGAAGAGGTGTTCCTCTTCTAGAGGTGTTCCACTTTGCAGGTTTCACTGTATAAAGAAGATGAGAGAGAAGCTTGTAAATGTAAGAGGAGTTTGAAGACTGGAGAGCAATAAAATAATAAAGCTGGCAATCTATTTTTGGCTTGATTATGAAACAACATTATATAAAAAACATTTTGGAATAAAATGATCTTTAACATTCTGATACTCATAGGATCTTTCTGTGTCACCTCAAACATGCTCTGATATTATGAGGCATATTCTGTGATCTGAGCACATCTGATGAAAGTGTGATAGTTATCATGAAATCATTTACCTTATGTCAATACATTACATAATAGGCATTGTATTTAACAGCAGATATTACAACAGACACAGTTACACAAGTTTTATGACCCCAATTAGATGAAATATGAGCTGGGATGAAAGATCTCAAAATCCTCAATTTTGGGCTCTCCTGGATCGCCAAATCAAGCTCATTATATCATGGCAACTCAGGGCTAAGAAGAAATGAGATTTCATGGTTTATCATGATGGATCTTGACTGCTTGAAGCACAAACCATCTTGTTTCATTCAAATTAATTGAATTACTCCCTACTTTAGGTATACATTAGAGCTGGCAGATCTACAGGTAATGGTGGGGAGGATGCGCGATAACTGGAAGTATGCAATTATGAGGGGGACCAGTAAACTACACATTGTAGAGAGATTCACGATAGCTATGCAGTTTGAAAGGTAAGCATTACATTAAACTGACACCCTCCCACTATAATTTTGATTCAGAAAGCAATTTTAATTTATAGTTGATTAATTCAAGATATTTTGTACACAATATCGCATGAGGCAAGCATGTTTATTTATTGGCAAAGAATGCCTAAATTAGAGCTCTTATTGCAATGAACATGGCTTAAAGTCTTCATTATGAAGAATTTAAACATGTATTTTTGTCTAATTTGTAATTTCAGGAGGTTGATTTATACAACCGATCCACAGTGGCCAAGTGCAATGGTGTCTGGTAATCTACCTAAACTAGTCATTCATCTCAATGAAAGAAAGGTAGGCCAGTTCAATCTTTCTACAGTCACATATTTTTATGTCATGACATAAATGTTAGGTATTGTCATTTAGCTTCTTGTCTGTAACATTTGCAGAGGGTTACATTTTATCATATTAATGCATTTTAAGGTGCAATGAAAGCCTTTCGTGAATTTTTTTCCTTAAATTTTTTAGATATTTCTTATAGAAACTCTACCATATAATACCATAATATGAATAAAAAATCCTAGATATTGAAATTAGATGGATATTCAATTGTACTTTTATGCTGTCAGATGATGAAAAAGTTGTTTATAAAATTAAAAAACACAAATTTTAAACAGTGTTTCAATGCTTTATGTCAGCTTCTAGTGTAGAAAACATTAAAAAATACAATTTTAAATTTATTTATTTTTGAAAAATATTGACAGTAATGATTTATTTTCAAGGTGCAATCATTGCGTAAATGCGTAGAAATCCTCAGTGGTTCGACAGCCGGGTCGCCTCAGATGGCAAGGGCCCCCAAACCAGAAGGACATCCTGCAGATCCCCAACCCCCAGAGTCAGAGAGAGACTTTCCGAAGACACCCACAAAGACATCTGGCACTAGCAGGTATTGTAAAGTAGCAATGTGACTCTTCGTTGAAATTCATATATTCTATTCAAGGTGTGGCATTAATTCTGAAAATTTCTAATCATTTTTACTATGGACCACATAGACATGAACCTAAATGTAGTAATAGTAAGCTTCATGCATTTTATTTTACAGAAGTACCAGTTCGGGACAACAGGCCTATGCCGAGGCAAGGCTTGTCATGCTACAGTTCACAGTCAGTGAGATGGCCTTAGGAGTAGAAAGCAGAGGTATATAATTATATTTTCATTGTATATTTTTCATGTAGAAATAATTTTCTTTTATATGTCATATTTGAGTCTTAGTAACTTACAGTTTTTGCCAGCGTATTGGTATCGATTTTAGTTCTTTAAAGTTTAAAAAGTCAAATCATCTTACTTTGTCAGTCTTCTCCCCAGCACCCACTTGATGTTATAACAATAGGCCAGCACCCACCTGAGAATCAATTTGCACCCACTTGAAAATGAAGAAAATCATGAAAAATAGGGATATTTTGACGAATTTTGGTGTAAATTTTGCACCCACTCCAGGGGAGATTGCATAATGTATTACTTAATGTTACAGGACGTAGTGTAGCTGAGTTACAAGTCTCTGGGATGAAAGCCAACTTTACAAAGAGACCATATGACTCTAGTGCGGCATTCACTGTCCACAGTCTATTTGTCATAGATGTTAATATTCACACATATATATATTACAGGACGTAGTGTAGCTGAGTTACAAGTCTCTGGGATGAAAGCCAACTTTACAAAGAGACCATATGACTCTAGTGCGGCATTCACTGTCCACCGTCTATTTGTCATAGATGTTAATATTCACACGTATATATATTACAGGACGTAGTGTAGCTGAGTTACAAGTCTCTGGGATGAAAGCCAACTTTACAAAGAGACCATATGACTCTAGTGCCGCATTCACTGTCCACAGTCTATTTGTCATAGATGTTAATATTCACACGTATATATATTACAGGACGTAGTGTAGCTGAGTTACAAGTCTCAGGGATGAAAGCCAACTTTACAAAGAGACCATATGACTCTAGTGCCGCATTCACTGTCCACAGTCTATTTGTCATAGATGTTAATATTCACACGTATATATATTACAGGACGTAGTGTAGCTGAGTTACAAGTCTCAGGGATGAAAGCCAACTTTACAAAGAGACCATATGACTCTAGTGCCGCATTCACTGTCCACCGTCTATTTGTCAAAGATGTTAATATTCACACGTATATATATTACAGGACGTAGTGTAGCTGAGTTACAAGTCTCAGGGATGAAAGCCAACTTTACAAAGAGACCATATGACTCTAGTGCCGCATTCACTGTCCACAGTCTATTTGTCATAGATGTTAATATTCACACGTATATATATTACAGGACGTAGTGTAGCTGAGTTACAAGTCTCAGGGATGAAAGCCAACTTTACAAAGAGACCATATGACTCTAGTGCGGCATTCACTGTCCACAGTCTATTTGTCATAGATGTTAATATTCACACGTATATATATTACAGGACGTAGTGTAGCTGAGTTACAAGTCTCAGGGATGAAAGCCAACTTTACAAAGAGACCATATGACTCTAGTGCCGCATTCACTGTCCACAGTCTATTTGTCATAGATGTTAATATTCACATGTATATATATTACAGGACGTAGTGTAGCTGAGTTACAAGTCTCAGGGATGAAAGCCAACTTTACAAAGAGACCATATGACTCAAGTGCCGCATTCACTGTCCACAGTCTATTAGTGGTAGATGCTTTACAGACATTTGGAAGAGACTATGACCTCTTGGTGGCGTCGCATAAAAGTCTAACGTGAGTGACACCTTTTTATTATTATTTCGTTAAGTGACACTATTTTATGCTTTTTATGCCAAATTACCTCTTTAATATTTTAGTGTTGAATGGTATACAATTTATTAGAATAGATTTATATTGAATGATTGTCATTGTAAGATATTGTACATTTTATATTTATTTTCTGAATTTCAGAATTTGATTGTAGTTTGATTGCTGACTATGCCCTTGAAATTGAATAAACTTTCATTAAATTAAGTATTGGCATTTAGAATTAGCAAATTAAGACTATTGAATTTTGATTCTTGAAAACAGAATAAAATAGAAAATCCACTGAGAGTCCAAGAATATTTTCTTTCAGTTTGGACAGTAGAAGTGGGAGTATAAGGGGGTCAGAGCCTACCTCCCCTACTGCCCAGTCCCCTAGGTCCCCCCAGTCTCCAATCTCCCCCTCCTCCCCTGGGGACAGCATGTTCCAGTCCCAGGGTAAAGCTACAGCCTTCAGCTCTATGCAGAACGCCATCACAAGTGCATTCCAGACGATTGTTTCCCCAGGTGAGTTGCCATTATGCCATATTCTCTTTAACCTCTTGACTACCCAGAGTGACGTGATTTCTCGTCACCTCAGAAATGACCTTGAAACCCAGAGTGACGAGATAATCCGTCACAAATTTTTTCATTAAAATTGCTCTTATTTGAACAATTTTTATCCAATTTACACAAAAATTGTTTCAAAATGTCTAGAAATTATCTCTGCCGTCTAACTTTACTAAATTGAATACCACCTGTTGTATATGTATGTAGAAAAATTCAAAGGCTTGCAAAAATAAAAAATTATCTGGTTTCAACCTATTTAAGAACCTGGGATTCAAGAGGTTAAAGATCGCGTCTCCCTGAAAGAGCACACATGCGACTTATATGATGAATTAATATAGTCTCAGGAAAATTGAACTGACTTGCCAGCAAATTTTTCTCATTTGCATGTCATGTGACCTTGTTTTGACCAATCATAAATTAGCGCTTGATAGTGATAAAAATATAACCTAAGATTATCCTTCTTATTCAGGTACAAAGGATACTAACAAGGACAGAGATGTTAACATGGATGACATCAACAGAGTTGAGAGTCCTTTCCAACCAATACATTCAGCCCTTGATGATGAGGCTTTGATAACTATTGAGCTAGAACAGATTAGTCCGTATAGTCCGTCATGTCCTAGTACGGACCTAGGACCCACTCAGATTGCTACCATCCAGTTTAATAGCCTAGATGTAATAGGTAAGCGATATGATAAGAATGTATCTTACTATTTTTAATCTGTTGAAAAATTCATGTCATCCCCATGGGAACAATTATGGTGCAGTTTTTTAATATATCCCATAGATTATGAATTTCATTCCTAGAATGGTTTTACATAGAGATTCCTTATAATATTACAAGTCAGCAAGTTTGGAAAGGATATTGCATTTATTCTTCATGGTATAAATGGGTTTTATGCCATGTTTAATTAGTATTTCATATGATTTATTTGATATTATACATACGATAATGTAAAACCAAGATTTGAAATGTTGTTTAATTATCTGGAGTTTAAATTCAAATGTACATTTCATATGATTTGTGTATGTTTGATATATTTTAGCCAATCAGGAGACAGTTGTTGAACTACTAAGTTTCTTCAAGCAAATTCTGCCGACAGATTCGAGTATGAAATCTCCAGTTTCCCAGTCAGGTTTGACTGTCATGGCTGATAGTACAGAGGGCAGCACTGTTAGCGAGGTTGCAACAAGAACAGAGTGCACGGCAGATTTTCATAGGTAAATAAAATGTTGATTTGGTGAATGTAGAACTTGTCAAATCAGCTTTATGCCTGGGTCACATTTGCTCTGATTTATCGGCCGGCGCCCAGCCGATTTAAGTATTTTGTTCAGAATTGTATACAGTTTTGACCATAATACAGGGTTCGTACACACCTGGAAATGTCAGGGAAATTGATTTATTTTTCCAGGTGCTGGAAATGTCAGGGAATTTTAAAACTGGGTCAAAAAGGGCCAAAAATGTCAGGGAATTTTGAAACAGTAGATGTGTCAGGGAAATGTCAGGGAATTTTGTATCAATGTTGAAAGAATATTGTTCCAGCAAAATACATTTTAGGGCTATGACAGGATATAAGTGAAATCCAAAATCATCTAGTTGTTTCCACAAATTGCAAATCTTTTCATTAGGGTTGATTGAATGACATTAGATCTGGTATTGTCTATTTGTAAGAACAGTGTGAACATTACACTGAAACCGAACAATAAAAATAATGTATAGATGATTTAATACAATTATGCTTTTTTATGTAGTAAGCTTAGTCTTAGGCCATTCAAAGTAAATTACTGGTATATACAGGGTGGGCCAAAAAACCAATACCCACCTTCAAATCAGGATAAAAATAGTTACATTCAATATGGTACATTGACTTACATATCATTTTAAAGGTTATACAATTTCAAACAATTTGGTATATAACACGATGTCATGAAATCAATAGTAAAGTTTTATTATACTTATTTGGGAGGCCGGGTCGCTATTTAAGGTCTCCAGATTCTAGGGAGAAAATAGTAAATCTGCGGAATTATGTTAATTTTTATTTATAGAATATCATTCTTTTGTTTGGTGAATGCATGCTTGGATATTGATATTTGCATCATTGTGTGACTAAATTTATTGTTTATGAATTTCAGCGTTGTTTAATAACATTTTACACTTTATTTATTTAAACAATTTTCACAATTGCTCAATATACCCCCACCCCCTCCCCTATGCATCAACAATAAGCTTCATGTGGTAGGGCAATCTATCAATAGCCTTATTGAGAGATTTCTGTTGCAATTCATTTCAGCACTTTAGGATTCTGTTTCAGCTCATCAAAGCTGTTTATTGGATGCTTTTGATTGTACCATTTCCTCGAGATGGCTTCATGTATGGTAATCAAACACATAACATGTAGCATCGCATCGGGGCTGTTGAGTGGCCAAGCATCGAGATCAGTCAAATTGACACCTTGTTTGCAAAGGAAGGCCAATGTCTCCTGAGATCTATGGTACGAGGCAATGTGTTGCTGGAAAATAAAATCCTCGTCACATATACGTTTAATGTATTTTAACAGACCCCCTTTAAGTACTTATTGATAATAAACAACACTAAGTTTCATAAACAATAAGTTTAGTCACACAATATGCAAATATACAAGCATTTATTCACCTAACAAAATATTTAATATACAAATACAAAACTTTAATATTGATTTCATGACATAGTGTTATATACCAAATTGTTCGAAAATGGATTACCTTTAAAATGATATATAAATCAATGTATCATATTGAACATAGCTATTTTCAGTCAGATTTAAAGTTGGGTATTGGTTTTTTTGGCCCACCCTGTATTTCATGGTTTGATGAGGGGTTAATCTGAGGGGGTGGGGCGGGAGGTGAAAAACAAAAAAAATTCTGTGAGCTCTTTACAGTGTAAAATTGTATTTATATTTATATTAAGAAGCTGTCTGTTCGACAGTCCGATCGTACATCAGTCTTTTCAACTTTCAGGGGCTTTAGACTACTTTGCCAATTTTGAAAACCTTAGCACATGGAAGTAGGCAACCAAAATGTGTGTGGGGTACTATTAACAGTTTTTGAATTTGGTCCAAATTTTTCTATTACATACAATCCAACCTATTCCATGACTTATGCTTATACCCCTAATTTGGAAAAATGGACGAGTCTAAAAATATCAAAATACAAGACCTTACACCCCTATATATACCAATATATGTGCATGCCTTCATAAATAGTACTCGTCTGAACTGGAAGGATGGTTATTTTTTCATGAGTCTAACTTAGTGACTGTGTTTGCTAGAAGTTTGTTATTTAATAGGCAAATTGCTGGCAGATATAGACATGATTATTGGTTACCAAGAAGGTTATTAGAATCTAATCATTCAATATTTTGAACTAGAATAGGAAAAAGTCTCTTCTATGGACTGTCACAGATCCCTAGAAAGCAGAGTAGCAGACCTTTACACTGGTGATCCACTCGATTACGCTGGTTACCAAAACGAACCGTTTTGGTAACAAAATGTCGGAACGTCGAAGGCACGATTTTTCTTTTTTCCTTATTTCACGCGTTGTAGGCAGAATCCCCACGACGTTTTTTCTCACAACGTGCATCAGTATCATATGTTTTAGAAAATGTACATGTTTGCGATAAAATAGCTCAGAGGACAACAGAATCGTCGATTTACTTCCTCACTTAAGTTACATAAACGGTTTTTCGAAAAACAGTTAAGATCTTCACTTTTAACCCAAACCGTTTATGTAACTTAGGTGAGGAAGTAAATCGACGATTCTGTTGTCTTCTGAACTATTTGTTCGCAAATATGTACACTTTCTTAAACATATGACACTGAAACACGTTTGTGTCAAAAAATGTCGTCGGAATTCTGCCTACAAGTGTAAAATAAGGAAACGAGAAAAATCGTACCTTCCGGATGTTCCGACATTTTGTTACCAAAACGGTTCGTTTTGGTAACCAGCGTAATCGAGTGGATCACCAGTGCTTTAGGACAGATAGTGAACAATGTTGCATGGCAACTATTGAGTCACTGAAGATGCCCAGGAGTCTCTAGACTCCTACAGTTATAGAAGATACTTAGACAGAGCTTCATAAGTCACTCTTCTGTTTAGCTTGATCATTTGTGGTTGCCTAAGGTGCACTTGATACAAGATGAAGGTCAGTTATTTTATTTTTTTCCTCCAGTGGATACTATTTTTCATGTCCACATCTTAGCATTCTCTTATGAGAAAGCTGATAGATGCTGGTTGAAGGATAATGAGTTCAGACTAGTTGAACTTATTTTTGACCTACATTGTATTCTTTATTGTAGGTTGTGGTTTTTCTAAGAACACTGCAGGTACACTCTTGTCCTTTATTAAAAGTGACCTTTACTCCTTTCACTCTTTACACATTTTTATTGTTTAGAGTATTAGGACAGTGTAATAATCCTTTAGATTTACACTCTTATGGTGTAATTCTTCTGTAATTTTGACCTAGTAGTTCATGAGTGTTTTTATTCACTCATATACTTTTGTGTCTATCCAATGTTTGGAGTAAGCAGTTTGTTTTTCACTTGCATTTCTCCAGCTGAGATAAGCTTTTCAACAACAATATCATTTCCAGATAGCTTGCTTTAGAGTGAGTTGATTGTTTTGTTTTGTTTGCATACTCCAGAGTAGCCTCTCTTTGTATGAAGTACTTCCACATCTGTACACTTCTGTAGTTAGTGGTACATTGTGTTTTTTGGTTTTATTCAGTTTTTCTGAGTAACCAGTCTTATTCCTATGTTATAAGAAGAGTTACATTTATTAGTGAATGCGTCATAGACCTCATCTATTTCATTCATGTTTTTGTAATATTTTTCGTTGTAACTAACACTTTTAGTGTTTAGAATACATCAGCAGTCAACTAATCTCTGTTTTTGGCAGAAGTTTTTGACAATTCTGTTAAGAGATATTATAAGGCTTCTTATATGTTTCTTGCTTGCTTAAGGAGTTTTACCCTTTGGGTATGACACTTATTCTACTACTATGTAGCAACACATACTGATGTTGCTTTACTAGGTTAGTAGTCTTCAGTTTAACTTCACATTACTTTGGATACATTATTTGTTCAATCATTCTGGTTTATTTCACTTTTCTGCTGCAGCATGAAATTAAGGAATGATAAGTATTTTCCTCTTAATTTACATCTAGCATTGTGCAGTCCTCCATCACAAGAGGTGTTCTCAGACTGTATGTTTTTTCCCTTATGGTAGCTTAGTTTTTCACTCTGCAAGTAGAGATTTTTGAGATTTACTTCAAGTTTAGTCTTTTGAAGTCTATATTTGGTTCTCCATTTATAGGCTAATTAATATATCAGAAGTATTATTTTTTTTTCTGTTATTAGATTGGAGATCAAACAACTATGACAGTTGTTGTCAACGTCATACATTATGTCATTTCATAAGAATCTACAGAGCTTTTACTTTGGTAGGGATATAGTCTTTATCAATTTAGCACTTATTATTTGCCCAGGGCATCCTTTATCAGATTAAGACAGAGTAACTTCACTCTTACTTTACATCGTCCTTTTTGGAAACCCATTACTTCTAAGCTTACTGGTATGTATCATGGGTTTATTATTCAAATGGCTTAATTTTTTTTTTTTTTTTAGTTTTATATTGCTCATCTAGCAATAGATGAGATATAACCTACATTAGCATGGTTGGTTAGATGCTTTTTGTATATTCTTCATTACATCTTTAAGCATTTAACTGTGGCTTTTTGAGGCTAGGACCAGTATGGACTATTAGAGATTGATCTATATACTACTCCTGGCATCATCACTCCCAAAAGTTACTACTTTGGTGAGTATGGTTATCTGTTCAACTGTTCAACATATATGAAGCAGTTTGACTTGATTTGCTTAATGGTTTCACTCAAAGTAATTTTTCTCTGTGATCCATTAAACTATTCGTTCATTGAACTACAACTTTAATTCAACTTTACTTAAAGTTACTGTTGATTACTGTTTGGCTCTTAGGGTATAGGTTGTACTTTTTTTGCAAATAGATGTCACTAGTATGTCTACTTCAACCTGAATAGAGCAACGGAAAGGCTCGTTCCAGGTCAAACTTTATGTTGACCCAACAAGCTACTGTACATAGTTGCATATTGCACTTGCGCATCACTTTATACTTCAGGAATATATGCTAATGCTATATATGTACTTTTGA